GGTTTAAAAGTAAGTTGAAATCTTGTCTTTGGATGGATGTCTCACTCCTGCATCTCGTGTATGCCTCAGCAGAGCTGTCACTAGGAAATTCAGAACCAAGAACAAATTAACTTTAAGTGGGAGAAAATAGCAGATCTTCTTTGTCCACAGAGTTCCACTGTGATATAAAAAGGATCTGCCCATCCTGCAGATTCTAGTCCCCCATTCCATCACAGCCTATGATTCCCTACTCCTTCCTGCCCCACCTCCCCACAAAATTTCAATCTTAGGGAGGAGATAGGGTGAGGCAGGCAGAGAGTGTTATGGTAGTTGGTGAAAGTGGGCCCTGACAATGGGTATCCACAGCGACAAGATCCTCAGATATGGTGGCCTGGGGCCACACACAGAAGTGGGGCTAGCAAAGGACTGAAAGCCACAAGGATGGACTACCACAGGAACAAATACTCCCTCACTGCACTGTTAATCCATCCTAGCTGTGGTTCTGTGTCTCATATGTGCAAAAGCTCTTTTGAAATTCTTCATTCCTAAATAAGTAAACTAGTCCTAAAGTCAATATATGTAATGCATCTGATTCATAAGTATCCCATGGAAATTCAGAGAGCTATATATTACTTTGATGGATCTATGATCTCACTAATACATCCCTGCAACAGCACAGATTACATGCCACCCATACTTCATGCCCTATTGGAATCCACAAAATGTTACATGATCTAAAGGAAAGTCTCCCACTAGAAATTGGGTGGTCTTTTTGGGGGGATTTATAGATTAGTGTGTATAAGAATGTGTACACAGGATGAGAATGTTTGGATTTTGTCACCATAAATCAGTAGGAGTGGAATGCATGCTTCTTATAATCTTCCATTACCCTTTTCTGTAAGATTTTATAAACCAGCCTATATCACATTCTGGTGTTTCCTTTATTGCTATTACTTGGCCAGGGGATCAATAGTTTGTAGCTTAGGCAATTTCTGGACTAATTTGGTCTCATGCTCGAGGTGATTGCTTTACATTGGATAGGAAATGGTGACAGTCTTTATTGACAGCTGTTCTTTTTATCCATTTCCTCATTTTCAATGTCAATAGCTTGTTTAAATTGATCAGGTTGATATTGCTTAAATTGTATATATCATATGTATATCTATCTTTTCACTTTTATTCTTATGTCTAGCTTAGTGCTGATTTTGATCTTTGTTCTAACAACAGAAGGCTAATTTAGAAATATCTTGCACGTGGTAACCAGTTATTTCTTTTCCAGTAGAACAATTTCATTTTTTGTGATTTTTTTTTTTTGGCATTCTCTTCCCTCAACTCCTTTTAAAAGAAAGTGTTAATGATATAAAGGCATCAGACTTCTTTATAGTTTATAAACAGTTGGCCCTCTTGTTTCTTGCACCTGAAGCATATTTTCCAACATATCTTCCTTGTCTTCCCCTATTACCTTCCCCGATCATCTGCTCACCAAATCTTCCCTATCATCTTTGCATTGCAATCACTTATAATTTAATTTGGGGAGGGGGCCTTATCAGGTTTTTCCTGGAATTCTCTATTTTCTGCAACAGATGTTGGTATGTAACCAACAATTATCATTGAAGAGATAAATATATTTTCTAGGACAACATAGAGCAGGCATGCACATCATGTGACCCACAGGCTGCTTGAAGCCCACTAAAGGATTTGAGGCAGTCTGCCAGAAGAGAAACGGGTTGCCACTGGGCACTCTCCTGTTTGTCATATGACCTGCAGCAACCAACCATTGTCAGTCTGTCCCTAGTTTAAGCTATCTGTGGCCTGAAGAAGTTTACAAGTTGTGCAGGTCTAATGTAGAGTCTTTTCTAGTAAGTTACCAATTCAAGTCAATCCTATAACATGAAAGAGTTAATTTTCCGTGTGTGTGTGTGTGTGTGTGTGTGTGTGTGTGTATACACACACACACACACACACACACACACACACACACATACATATATATACACACACACATTAACCTGGGAGGCTATTTGACTTCATGATAAAATAGAGGGAAGTCTTATAAGTTGTGATAGAAAGAACTTTCCCCAAAGCTAATATATAATTTTGTTAATTATATTTTTAAGTAAAACACTGTATTGACAGGGCATATACTTCTAGAAACAATTGTTGGTTTTCATTAAGTCTCATTTTAGACTTATGGAGGGGGTCACACACAAAATGAATTCTTAATGTAGATTCTAAACTGTAATCACCACAGGCATTAACAGGAGAGAGAAAGAGAGACAGAGACAGAGAGAGAGAGAGAGAGAGAGAGAGAGAGAGAGAGAGAGAGAGAGAGAGAGAGAGAGACAGACAGAGAGACAGAGAGAGAGAGAGAGAGAGAGACAGAGACAGAGAAAGAGCAATCTTAGATTATTCTTAGAATATTAATGAACATTCTTAGATTAGAACTATAAATAACCTAAGAGATCACCTATTCAAACTTCCTTATTTTTCAAAGGAGAAAACTGAGACTCAGAGAGATTAAGCGGGTCAAGCCAAAGGTCACTCAGCAAGGTCACATAGCAAGTCAACGGCAGAGATGAAACTGGAGCTTGCGTCTCTCGAGTTGAGTTTTCCTAAAAGTATGCAAACCTTCATGAAGTATGGATTAAGTACATATTGCCAACTTTAGGTATTAATGATAAATTCTATATTTTGTTGTTGTGGACAGTTTAGTTGTGCCTAGTTAGGGAGATTCAGAAAGTGGCAATTTATGATTCTTTCTCTCAATTTATAGCTTCAAGTACTTAAAATACAAATATTTCTAAGAATTCTGAATTTTTTTGGGGGGAGGAGCAGAGGAGTAGAAGGGAAAGGAAAATAGTAATCTAAGGCTTGCTCCAGAAAGTAATTTATCAGGGAATTCAATAGAATGGCTTACTTGCCTTCCAATCATGCTATGTGCTTGATGCTACCAGCTTTCTTGATCAAGAGGTCTTCTTGTGTGACTCCCTCCCTCTCCTGACAGTCATTCCTCTTCCCCGGCAGTGACAGGGACAAACAAACTGCTCAGTGGCATTCTGACAAATGAGGCCAACCCCAGAGACTGGGTTCCTCTGTTACAACCCCGCTAACATTCTGTGTACTCATTAGGCAGCAATAAATTATTGCAGAGGCCAAATCCCTGCTTCCTTGACTCCAGAAGAGTCTACAGGCCACACAGACCCAGGCTCTGCAAGGCAAGATAGTGTATTCATAAAGCACATTCCAGCCTGTCAGGACATTTTTAAAAACTAAGTAATTTCTAAGAAATGGTTCAGAGCTGGGAAAAGAGAAAAACAAAAGGAAAGTGGGAAAATAAGAACACCCTGATAAACCTGAGGTTAAAAGTATTACAGATTGAAATTTACTGGACCAATAGTTTTCAAATTGTTTTGACAAGATCCCAGAGGCATCTCTAGAGACTCCTAGAAAAAGAGGGAAATCCTGGTGGATGTGTTCAGCTTATGCCAGCCCCATCAGCTCACACCTACATGAAACCTAGGATATAAGAAACTAAGCAGAAAAAGTTCCACAATCTCAAAACAGTTGTTACAGGCCACACTCTAAAGAGCTTAGGCAAGAGATCCCCTTTTTTTAACGGTTCTGGAGGGACCGTAAAATGATTGTATCTTCAGTCTTGCATCTCTGACTGATTGTGTATGTTATTTTAATGAAAGACTGATTGATGGTGTCTCAGAAGAAACACAGGCAGGGAGAGAGAGAGAAAGCAACTATAACCCCTATGAATCAGTCAACTCATAAGCATTGCAAGGATCGAAAGACAACAAGGTTATAGGAGTTCAAAGATATCACCAAGTGAAATGGTGCATGCTGTTTGGGCTATTTGGTTGCAGTGGAAGCTATGAATGCCTGATGGGCTGGGAGGAGGGAGAGTGATGGTGTGATTTTTATGTGAAGCTTTATTCTGCTGAATTTCCTATTTCTGTCCCTAAATCTTGTTATAGTTGCTGCTGTTTAATAGATCATTTAGAAATTTTGCTTCTGGACCTTGGTTCTAAAGAATGAGTCCTACTGGCCTCAGAGGAATCCAATAAGCAGACTTAGAGGTAATAAAGTATATCTTTGAGTAGCTAATTCCATTAAGAACATTTACCACATAACATCCAGGAGAGGATGTAGTGGTGCTGTTGAAAAATACTGCTAGGCAATTTCTTTTAGCCCCATTGATCGATGTACAGTACTTGATGAAACTGATTTTATAATTAAAACTGCAGCTTTCCTGAAGTTTCTAAGCAAATTTTTACTACTGCATCCCATAAGTATTCAAGTTATGAATATTGTTAACAAAGTGTTCAGAATTATGACTGTGATCTAAATTATAGGAGAGGAGAGGGAAGAAGCGACGTAGGGATATGAGTTATTCCTTTCATCAGTGAGGTTTCCATTTGTTGTAGCAATTCTTTTGAAATCAAGATCCATTTGTTAGTGGAAAGGAAATTCATTATAACATATTAATGGAGAGATAATAGTTGAGAGGGTCCAGAGTACTTGTAATCATATTTACTATATTATTCGATCTATAATAACACTGCTTTCAATCAGAGCAAAGTCATCCTTTCAAGTGGGGAAGGTGGTTACTGGGTTGTGTGTGTGTGTGTGTGTGTGTGTGTGTGTGTGTGTGTGTGTGTGTTTTTAAAAAGACTTTGGGACTACCTTCTCCTGTACTGATATAAGGTGTGATTTCCCATCTATTCTCATATTAAATAAAAATGTATTGGATGTGTCATGTGGTGTAGCATTGGATGACTTAAGTCAGAGCTTAGGATGTTATGTCTTGAACACTCAAAGCAACAAAAGATGAAAGTATAGAACACTCATTACTCAACAGAAACTACAGATAAGTTCATGTGTCTTCATTCAAAATTTATGGTAGCAAAAGCATTATTCTAAATATAAACAGTAATATTACTTTTGTATTATGGGAAAGGTTGTAGAAGCAATGTCTTACAAAGAAGGAAGGAAAGGAGTTCTTGCAGACTTACCTGGAAAAATCTCCCTTTGCCTCCTGAAACAAAGAAAATATAAATATCAGTATAATAACCTCATTGCTAGTTTCAGAACTCAAAACTCTCTCTCTCAGTTTCTGGTTTCGCCTTCAAACTAACTCAGTCCTGAAATGTTGTGTATTTATTAAAAGATAATGTACTCCACTATTTTATGAAGGTAAAGAATCATAAGCAAAGGCCAAGCATGGTTGCACGTAACTGTAATCTCGTGTACTAAGAAGGCAGAGGCTGGCAGATCGCATGTGCTTGGAAATTCTGAGCTGTAGCAGGTTATGCAGATCTAGTGTTCATTCTAGATTTGGCACTGATATGGTTAGCCCCTGGAAAGAAGATAGGGAGGGTCCACCAGATTGCCTAAGGAGGACCAAATTGGCTCAGGTCATTGCTTCTGGGCTGATCAGTAATGAGACTGGGCCTATGACTAGTTTCTGCACTTATAGTCTAGGTAATATGGAAACTCATTCTTTAGCAACAAGAGCAGCAAAAGAATCACAAGCAAAGGGCAAAAGGGACTGTTTATCATTTGGAAGGGACACACAACATTGAAGGGGTTTTGGGGGAGAGCTCAAGCAAGTGACTGCTTTTACTCTGCCATCTTGGATCCACCCCAACACATGACATTGAGCTAGAGAAGGTCATACATGGGAGAAAATGATAAGAGAATGTACAACTTCACTTCATTTCTATTCTAGATCTAATAATGCAGAGGTCTGTAGGGTCAATTCTAGTCCAGAGGGGCCCTGATGGATTAAGTTTCATTTTGATTATTCCTAGATTAACGGTTGCTGGGGAGACTGGGCCAGTACTAACTCAAGGATGCATTTATGCTCAGGAGGAGAGTCACTTTAGTTCTGTTTATCTCAGACCAGTCCAGACTACTGACCCTGTTCCACATTGGACCCAAACTATTGTGTTGCTTCAGGACCATTCCCCCAAGTTTCCTGTGGGTAACAGGACCAGGGGATAGGCCAGGACCAGATCTGCCTTTGTAGATAAGGCAAGAGCCACCCCTTCCTTTGTACTTCCACTACGTACATTACATTTTGTCTTGTACCACAATTATTTGTGGGTCTGAATTATCTCCCCTACTAGACTACAAGCTTCTTGTAGGGACTACCTTTTATTCATCTTTGCATTCTCTTTAGCAACTAGTTTAGGGCTTTCTAGACATACATTAGGCACTTGATCAATATCTGTTATTTAAATGAATAAATTAATTTGCTTTATATACTTTTCCACTGTTACATCTAATGTTCAGTAATGCATTATTTTCCTTTTTGTCATTTGCTAAAGGTCTCTTCCTTGTCATTCCAAAAGGGGTGAGATAATTCTCTGTTACCTTTTATTAGTTGCTTAATTTGCTTGGGGGGTGGTAAATTGACTGAATGATACATACACTATCCTTTTTTCATGATTCAGATTATGCACAAAGTTTTCCTTAATAAAGATCCCATCTCTGGGAACTAGGTGAGTAGAGTTTAATTCATTTACTGGAAGCTCTGATGGATTCCATGTGCCTAATATCCTTTCCTTGAATTAGGCTGGAAGCAATTAAGGACACAATTAATCAGTGGTTGCAGACATAGCATACTGGCCATGTTTGCACGTGTATTTGCTGATTACTCAAATGTCTCACTGTGTCCCGTTCCTCCCCAACCCCATGCATTGGCAGCAGATTATTTTTAGTTTGGGTTTTCATGATGAGCAACCTATTTGGGATATTATTTACCCTAAGACCTGGTAGGTAATTATGGCAATGTGATTTTAATTAATATACATGACCCTCCTTGCTCCCCTTCCTGTGTGTATATGGATGCATATGTGTGTATGTGTGTGTGTATGGTTGTGACTCAGAAAAATCACTTCACTAAAGGAGAAGCCAGGCAGGCCCACATCATTAAATCCTCCTTCTTTGGGCAATTTCCCAATAAGTCTATCAAATTTTTAACCATATCCCCTGATTCTCTAATTAACAGACTTAGTCCTAGAATATGGAAATGAGAAAAGAAGTATTTCTTACCTGTAAAATATAGGAAGCTAATTCAAATACCACTTCACTGTCAACCTCAATAAGTTCCTATAAAGAAATAAAAACATAAAAAGAAGAAATAATTTGGTTATTTTTTTTCTGTGAAGGTGCCTCTGCAAGCTCCAATACTTTCATAACACATCTATTTTATGAGGCAACCTTAAATGAATTATTTCCACAACTAAACAAAATTTAAAAAAAACCAATCTTATGTGGAACTACCACATTTAGATTTATACCTCAGTCTGGGGTCCTACAGAGGCAGCAGAAAAAAGTAATGAAGAAACTGCATTTGGGAAGAGTAGTTGGATTGAACCAAATACACACAGAAAGTATCCATGTTGGAGAAAACACCATTTAGAATCCATCGATCTATCAATTTATAAAGAGAAGATACATGTTTAGAAAAAAATCATGGATTGCAAAACTACTAAACACGGAGAGACT